AATTTACTATTTTCCACAAAACTGCTTTGGATTACCATATAGCTACCCGGCTACTTACCAAATTTGAGAACACAATTTTCTTTCTTCTATTTTGCCTAAAACCACATAGTGGCAACAATGAATTGCACAAAATGGCACGTTATCATTCTTTTTATGTCTTGAAAATTGGGTCCTATCCTAAGTTAAGGTAGGTCTCAATCTGAAGGTTTCAAGTCACAATGTGTGATTCCTTTTGTTTGTGGGCTTAGTGTGTGGTGTGACCTCCACCATTACAACCTGCTCAATAAACCAGGACTAGAACAACATCCCGACACATAAATGTTGTCAGTTTTTGTCCATATCTGAAAGCTTCATTTTTTGCCAGCTCAAAATCTGAAACTTTCCGAAGAGAAAAGATCTGGATTTTGTCTGAAATGGTATAGGGCAGGGATAGGCAACCTTGGCTCTTTTATAACTCGTGGACTTCAACTCCCAGAATTCCTGAGCCAGCCTGGCTCAGCTTGGAAACCTCTCCCTTTCCCCTCAGCATGGCTGGCTCAGGAATTCTGGGAGTTGAAGTCCACGAGTCATAAAAGAGCCAAGGTTGCCTACCCCTGGTCTAGATGAACTCCAAGGTCCCTTCCATCATCATCATCATCATCATCATCATCATCATCATCATCATCATCATCATCATCATCATCATTATTATTACTGTTGTTGTTGTTGTTGTTGTTGTTTTGTTTTGTTTTGTTTTGTTTTGTTTTGTTTTGTTTTGTTGTTTTATTATTTGCTCTCATGGCATTTGGGAAAATGCTTAATTTAGCTTGACTGTGATTTAGGTTCCCATTACTGGCAGCCTGGCATTCAGCCTAGGTTCTTTGGCACGTCCCCTGGATTCCAGGGGAAGTTCTTGCTCCGCCTCTTGGATTTATTCTTCTTTGACGTAACCTTGGTAGTAATTGCAAAAAGGGAGGATATTTATTTACAAAGTCAGATCTGGCAAACCAAGCTAGGAAGTATCGTCCCGAATTGGGCAGGTCTTCGAATCTTCTTCCTCCTGCCGGTTGTGAAGAGATTAATGGCTAACTTAGCCAACTGGATCCTTAACCTGCTTGTCAGCCTAACTCCAAAGGTTGGAAATGCTGTGTGAAGACGCCAATTCCTTGGAAGAAGAAACAGAGAAATAGTGTACCAAGGCAGGATTTAAAACGTATTCTGTAGAAAGGCAGATTGGGCCATGGGAAGCACAAAGTCTGTATCATGCTGGTAATGAGTTACAAGAAGAGTGATTGTTTAGCTACCTGAGATGCAGTTACTTGCCTTGCTGCTGTTCCTAACTCACCTGTTTTCTGCCTGCTTCCTCTTTGTGAAGTCGCTGAACTCTGTCAGTTGCTCACCGGTAAGTAAAAGTCTTGTCATGTTGGTGGGAGGAGGCAGCGAAGTTTAGAATCAAACAAAATAATCTCTAAGATCTGTTCCCTTCCTTTTCCTTAGTGTGCTTGTATTTTGCATTATTGCTCTGTTGCTAACCAGCATTGGCATTTTGGCATCTGCGGTTGATCAGGTCTCTTTGATTCTCTGTGGAGAAGAATGTTTATACTGCATTAGCATAGCGTACCTGTCTCAGGTGTCACTACAGCCAGTGGAAGAGGGATTGTTGACAAGAAGGTTATAGTAGCATCAGCTTGGCCAAAGAATTCTTGTATCATGATATAAAAGTTTTGGAGCCTTTCCTTAACATTCCTTAGCAGAATCAACAGTTGCTGTGATATAGAGTCCTTGGTTTTCCCAGTTGCAATGTATGGCTGTGAAAGTTGGACCATACGAAAGGCTGAGTGCCAAAGAATTGAGGCCTTTGAACTATGGCGCTGGAGAAGACTCCTGCGAGTTCCCTGGACTGCAAGACAATTAAACTGGTCAGTCCTAGAGGAGATCAACCCTGACTGCTCTTTAGAAGGCCAGATCCTGAAGTTGAATACTTTGGCCACCTAATGAGAAGGAAGGACTCACTGGAGAAGAGCCTAATGCTGGGAAAGATTGAGGGCAATAGAAGAAGGGGACAACAGAGAATGAGGTGGCTGGATGGAGTCACTGAAGCAGTAGACGTGAACTTAAATGGACTCCAGAAGATGGTAGAAGACAGGAAGGCCTGGAGAAACGTTGTCCATGGGGTCGCGATGGGTCGGACACAACTTCACAACTAACAACAACAAGAAGAGTCCTTGGTGCTCTCTGAGCTTGATGTTTCATTATCCAACTAGGTAACATCATCAGTGCTAGCTAACCAGGTGTTACCTAACTGGGTAATGAAACATCTACAAGCAAACAACCAAACTCGGAGAGCAGCAAGGACCCCCACAGCAACTCCTTAAAACAGTAGTATCATTTCCAGAGCTTAGGTAGCAGCCATATGATGCTAAGAAATGAGACAGTTATTTTAAAGAGTTATAGGTACATGCTATGTTTGCACTCCCTTGTGGACTAAAGGAACTGTTCTAAATAATTTCTGAAATGCTGCATGGTTGCTGCATCACTGGAGGCTTTCAAAAACAGACTGGACAACCATTTGTCTGAAATGGTATGCGGTCTCCTGCTTAAGCAGGGGGTTGGACTAGAAGACCTCTAAGGTCCCTTCCATCTCTATTATTCCATGTTCTATGTTCAACCCTGAGTTACAAATATTCTCTTCTCTTGTTCTTGCTAGAACGGGTGGTTGGCTAGCAATGCCTTATCCTGACTGTTTTTGATACCTTGGGTTTGTGTGTCGTCAGAGGTTTAGTGATACAGCAAAGAGCAGGATATAGCTGGACAAGTTATTTCCTGGGAACAAGATAAGGCATATCAAGGAAGAATGAGCAAAACTGAAGCTGTATTCCAGTGATGTTGCAATACTTAATCGAGACAAAATCTGCATTTGAAGGACTACAAATTAGCTATCACCATAAGTGTGAAGGCGCTTCAAGAGTGAAGCCACTAGACACACAGATCTTTTGCTTCAATAGGATTAGTAGAAAGTAGCTGAGTAGCCTTCAAAGTTTGAGTCTTCCCCATGAGATAGGTCTTTCCTGCTTTGCTTTGTAATGAGAGGCAGAATAGGAGTATTCCCCAATTCCATTCCTTCAGGGGCAGAAAGATGAAAGAAGATTCTAATGAATAATAATTACCGGATATGAAAAAGTGGAAGAGTTTTTAACGTCATTACAAGATATCGCTGAATCTTTATTCAAAATAACTCCTCCAACTTCCTCAAAGTGACATCAGCCTATTAGGAAAATCCCAAGGTTTGTAAAAGTTAAGGCGAAACACTTTTTTTTTTTGGCCTGGGTGAAGGACTTCCATAAACAACACTTTCTGGAAATACAAATTAATTGCTACGCCAAGATGAAAGACAAAATTGGGAGGGAAATGGAACAGAATAAGCTGGAAAATGGCATTTCTGAATTGCTGGTTGGGTCACATCCTGCATATTACATCACGGTGTGTTATTAGAGATCTCACTGCAATGTGTTATTGCAGATCTCACTTATCCTAAGTTAATTATGTGTGTGTAGTTTTGCTGAAACACGTTGCACAGATAATTGGTTCAGAGATCTGTCCAGGATGCCAAGATCAGAGCGATGCAAGAGATTTCAAGAAAAGATATGACGAACATCAATTTGTTGTTTCGTATATCAGGAGGGAACCTCTAAACTCTGCCAGTTTAGGCAAGTGCCTATTTGGCCTGAGCCAAAAGCCACCTCGGGGTGAGAGTAAAGAGCTAGCAGGCAGATTACGAGTACCCACAAATAGAGGAACAAACAACAGTTCTGGAGAGGTGCAATTTACAATCACAACTGAGGCCAGAATTTCCATTGTTAAGTAGAATAGAATAGAATAGAATAGAATAGAATAGAATAGAATAGAATAGAAACCAGTAAAGTAAATCTGTTGTTTTAATAAGGTGATCAACTTTTTTATAATGAGAAGGAGGACACAAATAAATTGAAGAAAAAAAAGTGAGTCTAATGCGTGTGTGTGTACAGTGTCATGTTTCGGTAAGAAGTAAACAAAGCCACTTGCGTGCGGTGCACTCTCTCAAAACAATTCTCCTGTGCGGAGCGCATGCATCTCATAATCGTGTCTCGCCGCACTGTACCGAGCCTTGACGAATCGTCATGTCAAATACAAATACGTCACATCACATGGAACGGATCGGCTCGGCATCGACCGAATACGGAGATTTACAGATTAGTCTTCAAATATCAAAAAGGAGGACATGTAGGAGGACATCTTTCAAGAGAGGACAGAACTTACAAAAGGAGGACTGTCCTCCCTAAAGAAGGACGGTTGGTCACCTTAGTTTTAATCTTAGCCTGGCTGGCTATATTGTGTAACGGGAGCTGGGAAAATGGGTTTATTTTGAAAATATATATCCCGGTCATTGAACCTGCTCTTTCCTCTCTGTTCTTCTGCAGGGCCTGGGCTGTCAGCTAAGTAAGTATATGTTCTGGGTTTTTTGTGCGTGTTAAGCAAAAAGTTTATTTTCTCTCGAATTAGTGCATTATAGTTGCGGTGGGTAACAGTCCTCATCTCAGTCATGCTGGTTAAGAATGGAGAGAGTTGTGGTCCATGACACCTACATGATGCCAAGGAGAAGAACAACTGATTTCTCAGTCATATGTGTGGTTCGACAGGGTTCATGATAGCAACCAATGTGGCTTGTCTGGAAACTAGTCAGACAGGATTATTTAGCTCTTAAGAATCGTCTGGTTGCGTTTTATGATGATGATCCTGCAATATCCCTTTCTCTCGTGCACACTCACATACCAAAGGGGAGTCACTAATTATACCTTGTGATTTCATGCCAATAATAGACAGTGCCTCCTCACGCCAATAAAACATGTTGGAGAAAGAGGGGAAAAAATGGGGGGAGATGGGCATAACAGAGAAAAGCTATTTGGAGGCCCCTCTTAAATTCTTGGGTTCCACCCCTATCTGCAGCTGCAAAGTTAGCAGATATTCCTCCTCTTCTGCAGAACATGAACTTGCAACCACTGAAGACCCCCACCCCTCCTCGGTCTGCAAAGCACAGGGTAGGTTGGGCAAGGGAACTTCCTCTACTGCCCCATTCACTTTCTCTCCCCATCCCCACCTTGCTTTCAGAAAAGAAGGATGTTCTATGTATACTTGGTGAAGCCAGATCAGATCCAGAACTAGATCCAATCCTAGGTCTGGTTCAGATGAACCCAAGGAACACTCTTTGGTGCCCGGAGGAGGGAGACTGCATTCCTTGCGTGCAAGTGACGCTAACTCTTGGATTACTGGGTAAGGGAGGTGACTCAACCATCTGTTCTTAGAAGTTTATTTGTGTCACCTGCTAGCCTTGGGTCCTGAAGATGGGGGGGGGACAGGAACTTGTGTTTTGGTGTTGCTATTGCATTGGTCGGCCAGATCCTGAAGTTGAAACTCAAGTACTTTGGCCACCTAATGAGAAGGAAGGACTCACTGGAGAAGAGCCTAATGCTGGGAAAGATTGAGGGCAATAGAAGAAGGGGACGACAGAGAATGAGGTGGCTGGATGGAGTCACTGAAGCAGTAGGTGTGAGCTTAAATGGGCTCCAGAAGATGGTAGAGGACAGGAAGGCCTGGAGGAACATTGTCCATGGGGTCACAATGGGTCGGACACAACTTCGCAACTAACAACAACAAGGGCAGGGCAGGGTTGAAGAATCTGCTATGAAAAGCATCTGAGTAGCAGCAATGATTTAGGGCTGTCTTCATCTTTGACAAACTGCCCAACTTCCAATCAATCTCATTGTTACAATGCAGATGCTTCATAGATTTTCTCTAGAAGTTAGATGGCAGATCCCAACAGGAAAAAAAAGCTCTCTCCCTGTCATGGTATAATGATTTCGACAGAGGAGAATATTTGTAGCTCAGGGTTGAAATGAGGGGTCCTTGATGCTCTCTGAGCTTGGTGGTTTTCTTGCAGGCGTTTCGATACCCAAACTAGGTGACAGCACAAGGATCATTAGTTGTGAGACTAGGACAGGGGTGGGGAACCTTGGCTCTTTTATGAGTTGTGGACTTCAACTCCCAGAATTCCTGAGCCACAAATATACATTGAATTTGAAAGATTGCCTTTGCAGTGATTGGCAACAACAGTATGATGACTCATTACACAAATAGCATAAACTGCTCTAAAAATTTAGACTTGCCCCCAAGGACGGTTGAGTCTGTGGTTTCACC